TCTTGTACATGTCTTGGACTTATTCATTATACTGTCTAATTTGCTTTTAGGAAATTCAGGGGTTCACTTAAAATTCAGAAGGTTACAAAGTTGAAGATTACAAAGAGATTCATTTTGTAACTTACAAGCCTTTAGAGGGAGTGTTGACTTTATTTAGCTATTTATTATTTTATTTACTTTTTTGAGATGGAGCCTCACTCTGTTGCCCAAGCTAGAGTGCAATGGTGCCATCTCAGCTTACTGCAACCTCTGCCTCCCAGGTTCAAGCAATTCTTCTGCCTCAGCCTCCTGAGTAGCTGAGATTACAGGCACATGCCACCATGCCAGGCTGATTTTTTGTATTTTTAGTAGAAACGGAGTTTCACCATGTTAGCCAGGCTCGTCTGGAAATCCTGACCTCAAGTGATCTGCCCATCTTGGTCTCCCAAAGTGCTGGGATTACAGGCGTTAGCCACTGCGGCCTGTTGACTTTATCATGTGCACTGATGCATAGCTGCAGGCTCTGCTGTAACAATTTGCATAGGTATAATCTTTAGTTGTTAGAAAGCCTCTCTTCCTTCTAAATGAATGGCTCTGACTTGAAAATGTATCGATGACTTAATGTACTTAAACTTTGTGCTTAGAATATAAATTTTTATTGTGTTGATTTCTTGAAATCTGAACATTTAGGAAAATTTCTAACCTTTATTATTGGATTAAAATATTTAAATATGACAGAGAACATCAGGAAATGATTAAAGTATAGCTTTAAGAAGCCATTCATGTTACTTTGTCTTTAAAGCTAATTCACTAATACACATATTTTCTTGGGATACTTAGTAGGTATTTTTTATTTACAAATTTTAACAGTATTACTTGCATGAAAATAATGTAGCGACCATGAGCTCAGGTTGTGAAATGAAGTTGATGGGTCCAAATCCTAGCTACACCATTTAACTGTTAAATCTTAGGCAAGTTAACCTTTTCTTTTTCTTTTTTTTTTTCTTTTTTTGTCCCTAAAACTGTTCTGAGGATTGTTGTACAATGAAGTAGGAAAGCTGAAAATGGGGCCTGGCACATAGTAAGCACTCTGTAAATGTTTGCAATTACAATGGTGGTAGTGTGCTAGGATGCTAGGGATACAGCAGTAAATAAGACAGTGTTCTTACCTTTGTGAAACTTTCACAAGACAAAAATAAGTATGCAAATAAATATCCCAAATAATGGCAAGTTTCATGAAGAAAAATGTAGCTAGGTTAGGGATAGAGAATGATGGGGAAGCACAGCAGGCATTAAAGGATTCTCTGAGAAGATAACATTTCACCCACATGAAATGAGGCAGCAAGTTGCTGGAGGAGTGTTCCAAGAAGAGGGACAACCAGCATAACAACACCCCTGAGGCAGGAATAAGCATAGCATGTTCAAGGGTTGGCATGTGATGAAAGACGCTGGTGGGAGATGAGGTTAGAAAGAGAGAAAGAGCTTGGCCATGGTGACATGATAAGGCCTTAAGATTTATTCTAAGTGTGAGAGAAAACTTAAATGAAGGTTTTGACCAAAGGAATATTAAGATTTGATTGATGACATTTAAAAATATCACACCACTGTGTGTCTTTGTAAATAATTCATGCACTTAACCAGATAGAATTCTTTTTTGCTTTTTTTACAAAGAATTGTTACCTAATTTGTTAGAAACTATATCTACTTTAATCAACATTTAAATTTATTTCCATATATTCAGACTATCTTTTGTGAAGTTTACATCTTAAAAATTGATTCTGATGTTAAAAAATCATGTACATATATGTAATCTAATGTTGGGTACTATTGACAATATTCACTTTTCAATTTCTTTAGAAAGTGAAGTTTAACAGATTTAACCTATAAGACTATCATATCTGGACATAAGAAGCTGTCATAAAATGAATGCGACTACTACCTTGCATACAGAAAAGCTTAAGTAAAAAATAATAAGGAGGTATTCAAAGCCTATATATTGAACAAGAATCTTGAATTGCTGCTGCAAAGAATATGTGAGGGAAAGTGTGAAGCAACTGGACTGGAGTTCAGATATCTCCTTTTCTAGAGAAATACATAGATCTTGAGTTTGGCAGTCTGACATAGCCACTGCAGGAGAATTCATATCTGTCTAATTGTTGCTGTGTGTTGGGGTGAGAAATAAATATCTAAAATAGGAAAAGACTCTAAGTGGAAGTCGTTATTTCCTGTTGTATTTTCTTTGAATCTTTGAGAATTAATTACCCTAGTACCAGCAGATGTCATAAAAATGTTTCCCATCTATGGATCTGACCCATTTTAGACAACTTTCTGAATGTTTCCATTTGTTTTTGCAAGGTAGTCATTTCCTTCTTCCTTTAGTGTGGTAGTTAGAGGTCCAAAAATACCACCTACACACTTTTCCCGAAAAGCTTTGTATAGAGATCTTTACTTCTGTGGAAAGCAAGCTTCTCAAGTATCTCCATTAACCTGTAGGGCGGTGATGCTGATGGCTACCCCATGGGTTAGATAAGTGCAGAAAATAGTGCTTTATATTCGGCAAGCCCAGAGCCAGGAAAAAAAATGCTCTCTAGGTAAGAATTTCCCATCCTGAAGGGATCCAAATGAAATATGATTGCTAATTAGGTTATGAAGTTAGAATAATTGTGACACTACGGAAAATTAGTAAGATAGTTTGCTGCCCGAAGACTTGTTTGCAAAAACAGTGTTTTATTGGTCTCTTTTATTGTGTCCAGCTAGCTAAATGTGGTCTTACGTGGTGTCATATTTTCTGTGTCACAGTTTTCTGCCAGTGTAAGAGATTTCTAGTATGACTAGAATGTAAAGGATGCATACTGGCCCAAGCATGGGGAGCTTAGCTTTCATTTCAGGTGTGAATGTTTCCAGTATTTATTAAATCACAGGTGTCTGATTTGTGTGGCTTAGCTCCTTAATGAGCCTAAATCCACTTGAAGCATCAGAATCCATTCATTAAGTGTTTAGAAAGAACAGTCGTTAGCCATCAACAGAAGAGGAATTCAACTTTGCAAAGATCTTAGATGCTAAGGTATCAAGAAAACAGGACAGGCAGATGCAGACTCCTAAATTGCTCTAGCCTTAGAATGTCATGCTTGCCAAAACATGTTTTCCATATTTCTAATGTATGGATTCCTGATAAATAGGAACTTTTAAATAATAAATAGGAATAGTAAATTAACAGGAATTTATTTATTTTAAATTCCTTTATGTGAGGAATTTACTTATTATAAATTCCTAGATACCGTTTTTTTAATAGGCCAGAAAGTGAAAGTAGGGGCTCCTGTCAGCATCTAGAGCTTGTCTTAAGGTTCCCCCCCCCACCCCTTTAAGGCTCTAATCACAGCCTTAGAGATGCAAATTTGGTCTGCATCTCTAAGGCTGTGATTTAAGAGTAATGAATCGTTATTTCCATGAGATTGCTATCTGTCTGTATTTTATGTTTCCTTGTAGTTGGATTTGATCACGGATCTGTTGGGTACACCATCACTGGAAGCAATGAGGACAGCTTGTGAAGGCGCTAAGGCACATATACTCAGGGGTCCTCATAAACAGGTGAGAGGAGTGAGGGGGATCTTTTTCTGGTAACCATCTGTTTGGGCAAGATTTCTCTTCCAATAGAATATTAAGGATTTTTAAGCAAATGTATTATTTGTAGGTGGTTTTTTTTAAACGTTATGGTTCTAAGTAAGAAAATGTTTATTATTTGTTAAACTAAATAAAATCTCCTCATTCCTGATGCCATAGGAGAAAGTGCATGTTTTGTAGCTCCTTTGCTAATAAATGACCCTTGGCTTTGTGTCTCCTGATTTAGTGGTATAGATGGGAAAAACTACTGGAGATGGAGCTTTGACCTCAATGCCATAACCTAGTATATGTATATCAAGATGCCCTTTCCAAATACTGAGCCAATATAGCTGGTAGTTCTTATTCCAGCCAGGGATGTGAAGCTGTTGCTATTGCACTAACACAGAATCATCTGAAAAGAAGAAAAGAAGAATGAAGATAGATTGCCAGATTTGCACTCATCAATATTATTTGCAACTAGCCGAGTCACTGCTGAGAAAGACAAGATGGTTTTTTATCTCCACCTGTTGATTTAGCAGCAGTTTTTATAAGCACTTTCTAATCTCCTTTGGACAGAACAGCTTAATGATGTGAAGAGTGAATAAGGCAAATACTTTTCCTAGGAGCAACAAATTAGAACAGATAAGACTTGAACAGGATGACCTAGCAACAAATTTTCCTAAGTTTTGGTTTCTTTTGAATTGGACATTTAGATTATCTGATTGATGGTACCAAATGACAGAGTGAATTGGACACTTCTCAAACTGTCAGCCAGACGTTTGCAAAAGGAAGGCCTCACCTTCCTTTTGCAGTTCTCTTTTTGCAATTCTAATGTGACTCCAGAGCTTTGTTGTCACAGGCATAAAGGGCAATGAGGCAAAGTGTGTTCGCTTTTAAAGCTAGCCCAGGCTAGCAAATAGAGATATATGCTTGTTTGTTAAATAGCCCCCTGATGATTACATCTTTCTGTTGCATTTGGTTTAGAACTATAAAATAATATGAGGCCCTAACATCCTTACAAGAGAGCAGTAAATCTTAACCTAGAGGAAAGTTCTATATTATAGAAGAAGGAACTAACAAGATCTATTATGTTCTGTTTATTGGCCAGCATCAGGAACATTAAACTAATTTACTAATGCCTCTTGGTAAATGTGTCCTTAGAAGTAGCAAAATAATTGTCCTCTTTCACTGACTTCATTAATTAGTAAATCTTGCCTGGTTCAAGGTAAACAATAATGAAAACTGATGAAGATCAGACACCCTATGTCACCCTTCTGTCTCTAGAGGATTTTTAACTGTTGTTAATGGTTGCTAGTTAATCATCTGTGTCAAAGAGTTGCTAAACAGCAGCCTGAAGAACAAGGAAACTGAGGAGTTTCCCATCTGCTGTCTAGATAGGACAGCTCAAAAACGTAACTTACCTTACCAAAAGTCACTGTGCACTGCTCTGAGCATTCCTGGCAATTGAGTACTTTTTCTGTGAAAAATTTAAAAATCTGTTAGTTGTAAAAACCTAAGACTTTCCATGAAATAAAAAGTAGTATATTATTTTATAAAGAAGAGGAAAGGAAAATCTGAAGTTCCACTTTTATTTAACTAATTAAATAGGCTGAGATGTCTAACCAAATCATTTCTTATACATTTTGCTATTAATTGACCTCTTAACAGTAATACCTTTGCTTGTCACTGAGTTTAGTGATGACCTTAAGGGAACACTGTGGTAAAAGGGGCAGCCCTGTGCAGTCTTGGTGTTGGAATATTTTGATTTTGAAGAGAAGACTGGTGGAGTGAAAACTAGTTAGGAGACCATTTCCATTTAAAGGCTAGATGCACTTTGCAGAGACTTTAAGGTCTTTAGATGGCTTTTATCTACTGCTAGAAATGGCCTCCTTAGGCAGATACTCATGGTCTTTGAACACTAATCCAGCTAGATGTGTATAAAGTTATACCAACTATATATAATTGAATGTAAATGAACCTAGCATATTGCCTGTTTTCATTTTCCCTCCAGTATGGAAATTCAGTTTTTGATCTGTGTTTGCTAATTGATCTATCATCACTGCTCTCAAGAGATGTTAACAGGTTCTTGAAACTCTTTACTTAAGCCACCAATCAGATTCTACCTTTTCACTTCCCACTCCCTGCCCACTCACCAATCACAAGATGCATGCCCTGTGTGCCTCTTGTTGGCCTATTAGCAGCTTCTTAAAGGTATCTCCATTCATGTTATAGCTATTTACAGCTGAGGTTGGAAGACACCTACACACAAATATATTTGGTATGTAGCTACCTGGATTTTTTTTTTTTTACTTTAAAAGATTAATTTGGTCTTTGGAATAACAATATAGCTTATGTTCTGTACATCATGACTCTTCTGCAAAATGTATCGTGTTTAGTTTAGTGCTCTGCACAGGTTGTATACTGAATTTATAACCTCTGGACTGTAGCGATTAAGAGTGCAGACTGTGGTGTCAATCTCAGGTTTACCACGTTGCACATGTTTTGAATGGTGAACTGGGAGTTGTACAATACAGTTTTCAGACGGACTGAGTATGAATCCTGGCTCTGCTAGTACCTCCCTTTGTGACTTAGGCAGATTATTTAACCTCTGTGTATATCAGTTCATTCATATGTAAAATGAGGATTAAAAATGGTTTTACCTCATTAAATTATTATAATGATATAAGAGCTAATGCATGTAAGAAGAGCATAAAATAGTGCCTGGCACATAGAAAACATTTAATAAATATTAACCATTAAAGTTATGACTCTAAAATAGCAAATGAAGCTTATGACTTTTTAAAAATTACACATGATCAAGTGAGATTTATCCCAGGAATGCAAGGATGGTTCACCTACAGAAAATCTATTAATGTTTTATAACATCTTAAGTGAGAAAAATCATGATTATCTCAGTTGATGCAGAAAAGGCATTTGATAAGGTTTAGTCCATTTTATGCCTTAACATTTTAAAGGATCCTTACAAAATATCTATAGAAAAATTTTGGATGAATTTCTGTTAAGCTTATGAATAGTACAGAATGAAGTATATGATACTCTGCATGAAAGAAAAATGTGTGCACAGAGAAAGAGCCTCTGACTTTTAGAAAAGACTCCCAGTAATCCTCAGTGATGCTGCTTAGGCCAATTGGAGGTCTTCATTGAGAGGTCTAACTGGGGCAAGCTCTATCTCACTGTATTTATTTTAAATTACTTAATATAGGAATATTAGATTGATGGTTTTTAACCTCATGAAGAATACTTATAAAAATTCAATATAAGTTTTTGAGTTTGGACTGAGAAAAACTAAGCTTCTTTCAAGTAGTTTTCATCTAAGTAATTACTCAAAGTTAGACATAAATTATCTTCTTTTAATAATTTCTAACAATAATTAGAACTTTGCTATGTACTGAACACTTCTTATATATTGCCTCATTAAATTATCACAATAACACTATAATGTAAAATTACCATTCCTTTTTACAGATGGGAAATGGAAAATTAACAGAAGTTAAATAACATGTTTAACATCATAAACCAGATCTTAAAATTAGGTTTCCTTAACTCTAAAATCTATATTCTTAGCTAGTATATACTGCCTGGCACCTATATCTTCACAGCAGATTTATTAAAATTTCATTTTTATATATGCAGGTAATCTGTGAGTAAGAACATATCAAATAAGATAAAAATTTTACAGCAAGTTAGTTATCGCAACTACCACCTTCAATCCCAGTCCCATCTGGATTAACGTAAGAATATCTTTCCAGATATATATTCACATATTTTTTACATGTATTTGTACAAATAGAATATTGGACTTTCAAAAACATACAATGGACCCTTAAGCAATGCAGGGGCTAGGGGTGCCAACTCCACCCCCTAACCCCCTGCCTACAGTCAAAAAACCATGTATAAGTCAATTAACAGCCGGGCGCAGTGGCTCACGCCTGTAATCCCAGCACTTTGGGAGGCCGAGGCGGGTGGATCAGGAGGTCAAGAGATCGAGACCATCCTGGTCAACATGGTGAAACCCCGTCTCTACTAAAAATACAAAAATTAGCTGGGCATGGTGGCGCATGCCTGTAATCCCAGCTACTCAGGAGGCTGAGGCAGGAGAATTGCCTGGACCCAGGAGGCGGAGATTGCGGTGAGCCGAGATCGCGCCATTGCACTCCAGCCTGGACAACAAGAGCGAACTCCATCTCAAAAAAAAAAAAAAAATAAGTCAATTAACACGTTTTGTATATGTATTATATACTGGTATTCTTATAATAAAGTAAGCCAGAGAAAAGAAAATGTTATTAAGAAAATCATAAGGAAGAGAAAATGAATTGACTATTTGTGTATAAGTAGATCATCATAAATGTCTTCATATTGAGTAGGCTGAGGAGGAAGAGAAAGGAGGGGTAGCAGAGGTAAGTGGTGAAGGAGGTGGAAGGAGAGGCAGGCACACTCAATATAACTTTTATTGGAAAAAAAAATTCACATCTAAGTGGACCTATGCAATTGAAACCTGTGTTGTTCAAGGGTTAACTGTATACATACACAAAAGGAGAACCTAATTGACTGTCATCTTAAAGTCACAGATTAATGTGTCAAATTAATGTATTTGTGTTGGTTGGTTAATATAAATGCTTCTATGTGGCATATTAGTCAAGAATCTCTCCAGTGAAACTTAGTTTAAACTGGCTTAAGCAAAAAAAAGAAACCCTTAAGGCTCATAGCTGAAAAATCTTGAGCTACAACCAACTTTAGGCCGTGTTAGAATTCAGGTTGTGAGATGATCTTCCATGCCAGGAATCTGACTCCTCTGCTCTGCTTTCCTGTGTTTTGGCTTCATTTTCAGACAGGCTTTCTCCATGTGTTTGCAAAGATGGAGCCAGCAGTCCAGGCCTACGTTCTGTTACCATAACTAAAAAATCTTTGAAAGATTTTTTATTAGGAATATATTTGGCTGCAATTAGTAGAAAATTATAGTGGTTTAAGAAATAAGAGTCCACTTTTTCCTCATATCAAGAGGTTTCCTCCGTAGTATGGAGCTGATAGAGTAGCTTACTTGTGTCAAGGATCCAGCTATTTTTAATATTCTGCCCTGCCATCTTCAGAATGTTGCCTGCATACTATGTGGTGACTGGTTACCATATAGCTGTAGCTGTCAAGAAAACACATCCATATTCAAAGCAAGAAAATGGAGGGAAAAGGGTGCATTAGCACTATCTGTTCCCTTGATCAGGAAAGCAAAAGCTTTCCTAGAAGCCTGCTTAGCAAACTCCTGCTCATATGTCATTGTCCAGAACTGTGTCATATGTGGCCTCCTAGCTGCAAAACAGGCTAACAAAGTGAGTATTTAGCTTTCCTGTTCTATATAGTAAAGTCAGATAAGGAAAGAGTGTTGAGGGTATATATTGGGTTAGCCATCCCATTGTCTGTCCCTTGCCTGTTTCAGACCATGTGCCCATCTGGAGCTAATCATGGTGCTCATTTGACTGTCCAGGCCTGGGTCAAGTACTCATCCTTGGAGTTGGGAGATTGCAATCAAGCCCAATGAAACCACTTGGTTTGGGAGTGAAAGGGAGTGTTTCCCTCCACTTGGTTTGGGAGTGAAAGGGAGTGTTTCCCTAAAGATCAGGGAATGCTGGACAGAATAAAACACTGTGTGGTGTTTTAAGTTTATTATCTCTTTTCTATAGCTCAAAATCTTGAATGAAGGAAAGCTTAGCTGCCACAGCCTACGTATCTATTAAGTAAGATAGCTGAGGTACTACTGACCTGTTGATAGGATTGAAAAGTCTATTGCCAGCTCTTAGTCCTTTTGTTCTTCTCTTATAATAAGGTTTAGGTCTTCAGTTTGCCTCAGTTTGTTCCCACCTAATTGTGTCAGAAATAGATACAGCATTTTTGCTGAAGTGAAGATAGTTGTGTCTCCTGACAGGAACTGTATCTTACGTATAACAGGCTCTAATGAAGTTAGAGAGTTCATTCAGTTCAAACCGATTTTCTAGATGGGGGTTTATGTCACCCCAGAGTGCTTACTATTGTGTACTCACTGTGCATACTCACTTAATGTTGTTGACTGATCATCATAGCTTCTTTGCTGCCAGCTAAGGTCTAAAACTTACATGTAGTTGGATGAAAACTAGTCGGAACGTCTATTCGGGACACTGGCATAGTCCAGCTGACTCTGCTGTAGCAACCAGCATGTTGCAGTTAGCTTATAATGACTCTGGCATATGATTTATGGCCACTCACCCAAGTCCAGAAGCGCATCTTTGCTTCATTTAATTAATCATAGTCATTAATAGAGCACTCTTCATACCCTTTCCTGTCCTCATGATTCAGCACTGGCACCCACTCACTCCCACATTGCTAAGTTACTTATAAACTTGCAGAACAAACAGAAAATGGAGCAGTTTATTTTAAAGGAGAAAATCTAACGTGTGAATGTTAGGAGAATTGGCAAAAATATTTCCAAATGAGATATTTAGGGCATCTTTTTTTCTTTTGAGACAGGGTATCACTCTGTCACCCAGACTAGAGTGCATAGCTTACTGCAGCCTCAACTTTCCAGGCTCAAGCAATCCTCCCACCTCAGCCTCTCAAATACACAGGCACATGCCACCCCACCTAGCCTTTTTTTTTTTTAGAGAGAGGGTCTCAGCTGGGTGAGGTGGCTCATGCCTGTAATCCCAGCACTTTGGGAGGCCAAGGCAGGTGGATCACTTGAAGTCAGGAATTCAAGATCAGCGTGGCCAACGTTGTGAAACCCTATCTCTACCCAGGTGTGGTGGCCAGCACCTGTAATCTCAGCTCCTTGGGAAGCTGAGGCAGGAGAATTGCTTGAACCTGGGAGGCAGGCAGAGGTTGCAGTGAGCCAAGATCGCGCCACTGCACTCTAGCCTGGGTGACAGAATGAGACTCAAAAAACAAACAAACAAAAAAAAAACAACCAAAAACAAGAAACAGAGACAGGATCTCCCTAAGTTGCCTAGTCTCAAGTTCTTGGGCTCAAGCAGTTCTCCCACCTTAGTCTCCCAAAAGGTTATTACAGACATGAGCCACCATGCCCAGCCTAGGGCGTATTTTTAAGCATTCTATTTATTATTATTATTATTATTATTTTGCTTATTTAGATTGATTCTATTGCACTTACGAGAAATGTAAGCTTCTTGTTTGTTGCTGATAGATACCTGGCCCAAATGGTTTTAACCTAATGGCCGGTGAGTTAGAGGGAAGAAAGTGAACTTAGAAATGCAGTATCTCTAGCAATGTGTCTTTCCTGTGGAGCCAGTGCTAGAAACTAAAATGTTAATGGTTGTTTTTCTGAAGAAACATTGGCATGAATGAACTGACACAGAAGAGGAGAAAGTATAGTATGGCTGTTCTAGGCTGAAATGATACTTCTATTTTTAGTGTATTTGTTGGGGTATGCTTCTATAAAGAAAGGTGAAATTTGGTGGAGGGAGAAATTTAAAATTTCAGGTAGCATTAACATCCACTCATTTGATTTTCTCCAGCCACTTATTCCATACCCAGTTGTCTTCAAGTCTTAAAAATTCTGCCTTTTAATTTGTTCTCTATCCCCATTCACTAGCAAATGGAACTACTTATTTGCCTTTCTTCCTTGCCCACCTCATAAGTCTTTTTTATCTTTGTTACTTCCAACAACTAACACAGGCCCTGACATTGAGTGGCTGCTAAATGATTAGCATTGATGCTGGGAGGTAGAGATGTGTCTACTGGTGAAGTTTAATAGATGAGAAAGCTAAAGCTTCAGTGACTTACCTAAGTCTAGTAATGGCAAGGATAGGATTCAAACTCATGTCTTCTAGTACTTCTTCCAGTATTCCCTTTGCTAAGCTATGACATATCTTCACCACAAAAATAGGATGAGTAGTTTCACTTCGAGAGTGGAAGGGAAAGAACTTCTTATGGTAAGACAATTCAGTTGTACGAATTGTCTGGAATTTGGCTGCCAACCTGCGCAGGCAGTAAAAAAGAAGATAGCTATTCACAGTCAAAGTAAAAATTTTTCAAGAATATCAAATGACTTCACTTTACACAATAAAAAAATTCTTGTGTAAAACACATGTAAATTAAGTTATAAGTTAAAGCCTCTCCCCCATCATTCTCCACTTCTCCTTATTTTGACTAATACAGATAATTTCAGAGCTATTATAGAATCACACATTTTTAAACAAGAAATACTTAGGCTGAGCACGGTGGCTTACACCTGTAATCCTATCACTTTGGGAGGCCAAGATGGGAGGATCACTTGAGCCCCAGGGTTTGAGATCAGCTTGGGCAACATAGGAAGACCCTGTCTCTACAAAAAAACCTTTTTTTTTTAAAGCCAGGGCTGGACGCGGTGGCTCACGCCTGTAATCCCAACATTTTGGGAGGCCAAGGCAGGTGGATTACCTGAGCTCAGAAGTTGGAAACCAGTCTGGGCAACATGGTGAAACCCCATCTCTACTAAAAATACAAAAAAATTAGCTGAGTGTGGTGGCAAGCCACTGTAATCCCAGCTCCTGGGGAGGCTGAGTCAGGAGAATCACTTGAACCTGGGAGGCAGAGGTTGCAGTGAGCTAAGATTGTGTCACCACACTCCAGCCTGGGTGACAGAACGAGGCTCTTAGGGGGAAAAAAAAAAAAAAAAAAAAGTTAGCCAGGCATGGTAGCACATGCCTGTAATCCCAGGTATTCAGAAGGCACAAGTAGGAGGATCGCTTGAGGCTGGGAGTTCAAGGCTACAGTGAGTTATGATCATGCCACTACACTCCAGCCTGGGCAACAGAGCAAGACTGCCTCTTAAAAAAAAAAAAAAAAGAAAGAAAAGAAATACTTCTCTCTCTCTGCAAACATGTACATGTACCAAGGAATAATGAGTGGGTCTACAGATACTTGAATGCCAGATATACTGTGTGGGTTCTGTGTATATATTTAATTTTTTTATCCGAAGTAATCTTATCAAGACTCATACAAGGCTGGGTGCAGTGGCTCACACCTGTACAAATCCCAGCACTTTGGGAGGCCAAGGCAGCCCAGTGGCTTGAGCTCAGGACTTTGAGATCAGCCTGGGCAACGTGATAAAACCGTGTCTCTATAAAAATACAAAAATCAGCGGGTATGGTGGTGTGCACCTGTAGTCCCAGCTGCTTAGGAGGCCGAGGTAGCAAGATCATTTGAGCCCCGGAGGTGGAGCCTGCAGTAAGCTGAGCAGCACTGTACTCTAGCCTGGGTGACAGAGCGAGATCCTGTCTCAAAACAAATGAACAAAAAAGACATACAACTTTAGAACTAAACTCCAGAAATCACATAGTCCAGCTGCCTCATTTTATACTTACAGTTACTGAGGTTAAGACATGTTGATTTATCTAATTAGTGACAAGACAGAGCTAGAACCTGCATCTAATCTTATCTCTATTACTCTTTGATCCTGAAGAAAACTTCTGCATAATGAATAATAACTTCCTGATGACTCTGTGGTATCTTCTTTGTGTTGTTTTTGTTGGATTTTCCTATGTGGCTTTTGTTGGAAGGAGGAAGATATGTAAAATTCTTGATGTTAATAATTATCATAGTAGGATTCTGAGGCTATGACCAAAGTCCAAGGAAACCTAACATTCTGCTTCACCTGTTTCTGGTGTTGTGGAGAGTTTGAACCACATGAGACCTGCTTATATTGCTGTTCATGCTGCTGTTTCTGGCCTTCCAGTGCTCAAATAGCAGGAACTTTCTGTGATATTTTGAATTTTCATCTACTGACAAACCAGAAAATACAAGGCAGACTACCCACAGGAAATTTATATAAGAGTTTGCAAGTAAAACCTGCCTCCAGTTTGCCTTTAAAGTAATATAGTGTTGTTCAGATGGTCAAATTATCCCAAACATAAACCAGACTGCCTTTCCTGCCCCTGCCCCACCTACTACCAGCTGAAGTTCTGCTCTCTTGTTAATAGACCATTAATACTGTAGTAACAAAATGTAAATGCCCTAACATTAAAGTGGTATGATGAGGCAATGTCTGGAGATCAGGACCAGATAAAGATACCACACGGTTCACAGATGGCTTTTTAAATTGTTTTTCAAATGAGAGAAACACATATGTTTTTAAAACTCTCTTTTTAGTTTTTCCCACAAATATAATCATAATGAAGCAGTCTGGGCATTACATAAAAGAAGAAGCCCCAGAACTACCAAAGGCTGCTCTAGTCTATTTCCTAAAAGTTCAAAGTTTTATAGGGAAACCCCGAAGAAACAGGATATAAGAAGGACTGGCTGGGTGTGGTAGCTCACACCTGTAATCCCAGCACTTTGGGAGGCCAAGGTCAGGAGTTGGGGACCAGCCTGGCCAACATGTTGAAACCCTGGCTCTACTAAAAATACAAAAAGGAGCTGGGTGTGGTGGTGCATGCCTGTAGTTCTAGCTACTCGGGAGTCTGAGGCAGGAGAATCGCTTGACCCAGGGAGGCAGAGGTTGCAGTGAGCTGAGATTGCACCACTGCACTCCAGCCTGGGTGACAGAGCAAAACTCCATCTCCTATTTTAAAAAAAAGGATTTAGAGAAGCTGGGCACAGTGGCATGTGCCTGTGGTCCCAGCTACTTGGGAGGCTAAGGTGGGCACAGTGGCGTGTGCCTGTGGTCCCAGCTACTTGGCTACTTGGGAGGCTGAGATGGGAGGATTACTTGAGCCCTGCCTGGGCAACATAGCAAGACTCCATTTCTTTAAAAAAAAAAAAAAAAAAAAAGCAGTAGCACTTAGAGCTAATGGGAAGAGATCAGACCCAGATAAAATGTAGTTTATAGCACTTGAGACTCTTCACTTTTCCAAAGCATAGTAAAGGTCAGGGGTCATTACCCCTAAAGTTAGGTTGTCTTTAGACCTAACTAAAAAAGGCTTTGACTTTTTTTTTTGTTTTTAGAACCTCACTCTGTCACCCAGGCTAGAGCGCAGTGGCATAAGCACGGCTCACTGCAGCCTTTACCTCCCAGGCTCAAGCAATCCTCTCACCTCAGCCTCCCAAGTAGCTGGAACTACAGCCATGTGCCACCATGCCTGGCTAATTTTTAAATTTTTTGTAGCGATGGCATCTCATGATGTTTCCCAGGCTCATCTCAAACCCATGGGCTCATGCAGTCCTTCTGCCTTGGCCCCGCAAAGTGCTGGGATTGCAAACAGAAGCCACCGCACCCAGCCTCAGCTTTTAACTTTATTGTTATTTGAGTTGATTTTCATAGGCTTTGACCTTCTAGACTTTCTGACCACAGAAAGTTTATAAGTAGATGCCAGGTCTAAAACCCATTAGGAAAATCATTTACTCCACTACAAGATTAGTTTTGTTTTGTTTTGTTTTTTATTGTATGAAAGTCAAACCAATAATAATTTGGCCATACGTCTATAACTTTCAAAGCTTGAGGAAAAATTTCTCTGCCAACAGTTATTTTAAGCATTGGAAGAAAGGGAGTGTCTAAACACTTTTTGTCACATTCCCTAATTCTTCCTTTTTTAATGTTGAAGATAAAGAATTTACTTGTGTGAGAGACAGAGCAGATGCTTTTTACCTGCTCTGTCTCCTGAGGCTCCTAGCAGTGAAATAGAAGCTTCATAAGCTCTGTGGCTTTTCAGGTCATTGAAGCCATCTCTCTGCCTCATGGAGGTCAGATATGGCCATGTGAATAAGCCTACCACTTATGAAGACAATTATTGAGTGAATCGATAATAAAGACAATTCAGATTGAACAAAACCAGTGGTGTACTTTAAAGGTTCTGTAAGTTCTTGAGTGTCCTATAGCTCCTTTAGAATTAGTATCTCAGCACTTTCATTATGTTGTCATAAGACAGTTCACATGCTTATAATTTACATGCTTTGCCTTTAAATCTTTTCTTTCCCATCCCTAGGCATGTTTGATTATCATTCTTGCCAAAGCATTTAAGATATAAGGCTAACCAAATCCTGGTTTTGGCCATGCTCTGAGCCCACATTGTTTCTATAACCTCAAGCTTCTGTACCTCATTAGGGGTTTGGGGCTTTATTTTGAAACCTCCCATGTACACACAATAAATAAATGTGCATGCTTTTTCTCCTATTAAAAAAGATGCCTAGCAGGAGTGCCATATTTACAACTCATTTTCATTTTTCATAGGCTCTTTTATGCTTTACCCTATAGTGAATAATTATGCAATATAAAAATGCTATGGGGCCAGATGCAGTGGCTCACGCCTGTAATCCCAACACTTTGGGAGGCCAAGGCAAGCAGATCACTTGAAGTCAGGGGTTCGAGGCCAGCATGGTCAACATGGCGAAACCCCATTTCTACTAAAAATACAAAAATTACCCATGTGTGGTGGCACACGCCTGTAATCCCAGCTACTTGGGAGGCTGACTGCCGAAGAATCACTTGAACCCTGGAGGTGGAGGTTGCAGTAAGCCAAGATGGCGCCACTGCACTGCAGCCTGGGTGACAGAGTGAGACTCCATCATATATAAATTAATAAATAAAGCAAGCAAGCAAGCTATGGGAACTTAGTAACAATTGTTGCTTTTGAAGACTGGTTAATGAAGGGAAAACTCATTCTCCTTGAGGTTAGACACACATTGCCTTTCCAGCTGAGTACTTACCTTGTCATAAGCTGGCTGTATTCCATAGCTGTTTACACAAAGACTCACTTAAATATTTGAATTTTTAATTTTTTCACAGCCATCTCTTCCTGTACTCTATACCCTGTCTAGCCAGGCTACACATGAAGCTGTTCATCTCCTTTGCAGGATGTTGGTCTTTGATCCAGTAAGTAGTGTTTGTTTTTATGTATTTTTAATGAATTACAAATAAATGTGTTCTGAGAGAAACAATGTGGTTTTGAATAGATTGGCAATGTAAATGATTACTTTTCAAAACATAAACTTCAATCACCAGTATCGTATGTATCATGTGCACTCATCACACAGAAGTTTATTAACACATAAGAGTCTAGGGG